GCATCTTCCCTTCCTCTGGGCTCTCTCATATGACCTCCCAAAGGCTGCCAGGTCAGGCTTCTGCAATGCAGCTCTAACTCCCTGTACATCTCATCTCTCATTGAACATTGCAAATCCAGACCTGTAGTGGTCAATTGTGGCTCATGACAGCATTTGTGGTGCTGCCTTTCTAGGAAGATGACTGGGGTATGGGTCAGGTGCCCCTGGCCCAGGGGAAAGGATATCCCTTCAAGGAGCTACCTGTTGGGAACCGCCCTGACTGGTATCAGAGGCTGAAACCCCCGCCTAGCTAAGGCTAAGGGAACGCCCTTGGAACTGTAAGCCAGCAAGGAGACAAAAGCTTGTCTCCCTAGCAGGAATGCTGCTTCTGCTGCTTTATTCATAACTGAACCCCAAAAAGCTTGGTCGGTTAGCCAAAGACGGGTAAGATTCCCCACGGGGGGAACGACCTAAAACAGGCACGATCACTTTGGGAGGCCCCCCAAAAGAAGGACTTGGGGGGCTGCAGCAAAAGGGGGTGATGGACCCTCACTCCTCGGCTTTGACAAAGTCTGAGTTCTCAGTGTCTGGGAGGAAATCTCCTTATCTCTTGGTTGCCTTAGTTCCCTTGCTCCACCTAAGCCTGAAACAATGACAGGGTGGTGCAGCTCGGTACTGAGAAGTGCGGATTCCCCGGGTAATCAGGCCTAAGAAAGAACATGTAAATTACTGTGAAACCTTCTTTGTTTAGAATGCCCTCAGTTGAATGAGAAGGGTCTTAGGAGGAAGTTAGTTTGTTCCTCAGTCTTACAGCTCTTTGACCCCAACTCAATAGACCGGCAGAGTTCTTTGTTTTCTATAGTTCCTTACTTCCCCTAATGAGTACTGTACTTTACCTGAATTATTATGCAAAATGATCCCAATAAAAGCAGGTATGGACGGTAAATCAGCGCGCTCCCCACTGGGGGGGGGGTGGCCATTTCGTCCCTACTTCCCCACAGAAACTAGTTTGTCTCTGTGCATGTGTGTTTTTTCTCGCGTATTGTCGAGCCATCCACAGCGTTCCGTGGTCACTGCTGGCCGGTGACCCATGCGCAACAGCTACCCCCATCCAATCTCATCTGATGAAAAATGCACAGTGGATGAGGGTCTGAGCACCCTGGTCCTTGCATGAGGCCTGTCAACTCTCCCAAATTCAGCCACATTTCTGCACTGTCCTACTGTACTGGGAAGGAAGCTCTCTTTCTCAATTTCTTTTAAAGAGAACATGCCCTTATCAGTCTGCCAACCTATTGCAATCAAGCTCCAGACTGCAAACAGTGAGTAGTGAATAAACACATAAGATGCTCCTCCTCTGATGCCATCAGGAAATTTCACAATTCACCTGGTTCTGTGAGCAGGCTCAGTCATGTCTGAACTTAGCATATGGTGACTCTCTGCCCCAATATCCTTGTCCCACTTCTGTGTGTCTGCTTGGCCAGCAGCAGGACTAGGCCAGATGGCCTTCTGCTGTGAAGCCTTCCTGGATCCCATAATGAGATAACACCAGAGAGACTGAGGGTTCCTCTATGAGCCCTTGAGGGCAGAAGCCAATCTACAGTTTCTCAGCAGGTGAGTGATGATGGAGAAGTGGGTCTTGCCTGGCATGACCACATTACCAAGAATAGAGGTAGACTGTCTGTAGAGAGAAGCTTCTCCCTGCATGGTTAAAATATGTAGTACATGTGCATACTATATTATCATAAAAACTCCAAGTTAGAGCTGTAGTCTTGTTTTTAGATGAAAACACCAAGGCTGAGAGAAGTTAGACAGTTTCCCTAGGATCACCGTCTAGTAGCCCAAGCCCCCCTCCCATGTATCCCTTACCTACCTAAGGTAGACGTGGTTCTTCTGAACTGCTTCCCTAAGGTCAACCCCCTTTGACTCAGACTTCACCCCACCCCACCTCAAATGCAGAGGTCATGTCTCTTATCTCCTTTCTAGGACTCCGTGGATCTCAGTTCACTGTGCCAAGAAAGGCAGTGCTCAGCTGATCACTCTATTTGTGCTGTGCCAGCTGAGGCTGAGGGCCCATCTCAGATGTCTTCCATGTCATTTGGGTTCCACAGCTCAAAAAGCCAAGTGACATGAAAGATGTAAATAAAGATGGGCTATGTTGTAACTTGAAAGATGGTGGCCTGTGAAGCCAATCCTGGGGAGCACAGGGGAAAAATTATCACTCAGACCCAGGGGCTTCTAGGAGTTTCTGGAAGAAGTAGCACCTCACCAAAGTCCTGAAAAATGATGAGTTGGAATTAGCTGGATAAAAAAGGGCATTTGAGGCAGAAGAAACAGCGTGGGCAAAGACAAAGGGAAATTACGTCTCCTGGCAAACCAGTCTGTATGCTCATGGCTGGAACGTCTTCTGCAGGTGGGGCAGGATAGAAGCGGGGGAGCTGGGTGGATATACCTGGGCTCTCTCGCCTGCAGTTGGGGCAATCACTGAAAGATCTAAGAAATTGGAATAAAAGAGATATATTTGCCTTTGTAGATGGAACCTCCAACAAATTATATGTCCACTTGACAATAACCTTCCAATTGCTATGTGGGATGGAACCCAGAGAAGCAGGTAGAAGGAGGTTTCTGAACATCCAGGGATAGAGGGTGGACCTGGGAGAGGAAGATATGTTCAGTGAGACCCAGGAGATGGACTTGACCCCACATACAACTGGGAGGAATATAAGCCTAAGGAAGGAATCTAGGCCAGTAGCTTCAAACCTAGCTGCACATTGGAATTTCCCAGGGAACTTTTAAAATATACCTATGTCCAGACTGGAAGATGTTGGCAGGTGCAAGCATGGCAGGGTGAGGGAGGGTGAGATAGCATAAAATCTGCATCACTAAATGCACAATCAGAATTGTGAACCACTGATCTGAGCTACCATTAGCCATTATGGGGATACGTGAGAAGGAAAGGTAATTGTGCATGTGTGTGAAGTGAGGGTCTATGAAGTGGCAGCAAAGGACCCTGAGAGGCCAGTTGGGTCACACTCATTTCATTTTGACAAAGTATACTCAGCACCTAGTCTATGGCAACTGCTGTGCTAGGCTCCTGAAATACAAAGATGACCATGACCTTAAGGAACACTGAGCAGATATAAGAAAGGCACAGTCTAGTCTTCATTTCACAATCCATTCATCCATCCACCATTTGCATATCTATTCACCTCTCTATCCCTTCATCATCCATCCATTCTTTGTCTCACCATCCATGAATCTACCCACTACCATCCATCCTTCCACCATTCATCCACCCTCCACAATCCATCTATCCTCTATCCATCCACCATCCAACCTTCTACCATTACCAAGCAAGGAGGCACTATTCCCCAAAGCAGTATCTTCTCCCGTGACTTCACTGTGCCTCCATTTTATCAGTTTCTTTTCCTGTCACAAGGGCGCCTGTTCTGTTTATCTCATTTTGGTCTGGGCTCTGCCTTACTAAAGCAACATGCTTTTGACTCAACAATGCCAGTCTCTGGGTGGGAATAAGACATTTAATTGCTGTGATGCTTCCAGGAAGCCAGATGTTGGGTACTGCTGCATTACCAACCCAGGCATTTGGTTTTAATTTTTCTCTCTAGTTGATCCCAATTATAGTGGTAATGGTGAGGAGGAATCCCCAGCTTTGGATCCAAATAGACCTAGATTCAAATCCTGGTTTTGCCAATTTCTGCCTAAATAATTTTAGGTAAGTTCTTTGACCTGGACCCAGTGGAATCTCAGTTTACTCATCTGGAAACACACTGCCTACTTCCTAAGGTTGCTGTGAAGGTTAAAATAGATGATTCTATGTAGAAAGCACCCACACCAAGGAGCTTGGCATTTAGCCAAGCCCTTGTTAAGTCAGGCCCTTACTACTACGCCCTCCCACTTAGATGCAGCTTTAGAGAGACAAATGCATATGGTCTTTATGATGCGAGGGGATTTTCTGTAGAGAATTATTGTGAGGCTGTGTATGTGTGTTTGTACAGTTCTTGCAAAATGTCCAAAGGACAAAGGTCTTACTCAGGCCTGGGCATGTGGCCTCCTGCACTTTCCTTTCAGAAGTCCAAACAAATAAAGCACCTTTCTCTAGGGGAGGAGCTATGCATCTAAATGAATGTTGCACAGAAACTGACTGGTTTGGTAGTTCTCCACCTGTTTTCTTCCCGATGCCCGCTGTGGGCCACAGTTCTACTCTGGGGTGGACTCAGCTCCTGGTTCTGGGGTCAGGAGGTGCTGGAGCTTCTCAGGGCATTCTAACCCTCTATCAAGTTGCAGAATGAGGATTTAAGGTTTTCTGGATTTCCATGCTTGTGAGAATTCCCTCAAGTGTCAAGGTACAGATTCATAGGTCCTTCTATTAGCCCTGGGATGGGACTGGAGCTCCATATTTTTAACAAGCACCCAGGAATCTCAGGGTTCAGCAAGCTTTAAAACTCCTGCAGTAATTTGGCCTCAAAGAGGAAGCATAACACCCTGATCTCTGCAATTTAGTAGCAAGGATCTTGGCCCGGGTATTTGACCTCCTTATTCCTCAGGTTCCTCATCTGCAAATGCCTACCTCATGGGGTTGTTGTGAAGGATGAATGGGGATAAGTAATGCATGCTAGGGATCAGCACAGGCATGGTGGCCATTATCACTGCAGAGCCCTGCCGTCTTGATGACAACCTGCATACTTTTTTCCCCTGAAGTGGCCATAGAGTGGATAAGATGTGGGTGGGAATGAGGCATTCCAAGGAAAGACATGCATTTTGAGGTGAAACATAGCTATCTGAAGTCTTCCAGGTTGTAACTGTTTTACGTAGAAGATATGCTGTGATTGTGCATTGAGAATCCACTCTATAATCAAGATATATTGAAAGGCTTTTGAAAAAAAGGTGTTTGGCTGAGCTGCTCCCTAAGCTCATGGGCCCCATGAGGAAAGGAGTGAGGGTCACACTTGCAGCCCTGGCCATGGGAGAAGCTGTCCAGTGTCCTTAAGTTCTCCTACACTTACGCTTTAGAGTAGTTCAGAACAAAGTCCACTCCTTTCTCACTATCAAACTGGATATCACGAGGTAAATCCTTGTGGCTTTTGGCATCAATACTCAAGGGGAATCCAGGGTTCCATTCCATCCATCTGAGCATACAAAAGGAGGAGAAAAATGGGTTAATGCCTTTGGGTTGGCACCTTAAGGTGAAGACTGTCTGTGTAGTCTGAGGATGTGCCTGCCATCAAGGTAACATATTATAGTTGAGGGTGCATCTGAAGGGGTGCTGGGACTCCTCCCAAGGCCCTGAGTCAGCCCACTTTGCTGTTCCTTGAGCATTATAGTGGGAGGCCTGATGCCTCCTCAACCTAAAACTGAGCTTACAGCAGAGGGATAGTGAGTGAATGCTAGGTGTGTACCACTGTATGAAAGGAAATGAAAAAGTAAGAATCAGAAGACCTAATTTATTTGAGGTGACACTGAACAGCAATGTCTCCAAATATTCTCCCCCAGCACAGAACTGCCTTGCTGGTCACCAAAATTACATTGTGGTGAAGGCTGCCCCACCATGCCTGACCTAGACATCAATGCCTCACCATCTTGGTCAATGCACCCTGAACTGTGTGTGGTGGTGGTGTGAGGTGGGAGCCAGGGGGTAGGGACACTTGTTATGGCTGAGCAGTAGGGTACACCAGGTGGCAGGTAGCTAAGTGTGCCTTCTGCTTCCATCAGGCACAGATAGCTGCCAATAGCAGGTTTAAGGCTTCTTAACATCATAATAGCTCCCCCTAACAAAGGACCATGCATTCTATTCAACCAAAGTTTTTGTATCCTGGTGTCCTTGAAACTAAACCCACAGCATTGGATATTTATATTTTGTTGTTTCAAGTTTTACTTTTGTCTTTGTTTATAGCAAAAACAAAACAAACTGTCAGTTTCTTTAGTGCAGGGAGAATGATCTTATATTTGTTTAAAAACCAAAATTTACATTCTGAGATTTCAGCTTTTCTAGGTATATTCTTAATGTTCCTTTCTTTTAAATAAATCTCTCTTATGAGAGGAAAGTAAAACATTGAGATATTTGGTCACAAAAGCCTTTACTGTTTCAGAAGAGGAAGAGCAAGAAATTGAAAACTTATTTGAAAAAATAATGAAAGAAAACTTGCCTAATTTGGCAAAGAGAGTAGACATACAAGTTCAGGAAGCACAAAGAATCCCAAACAAGTTGGACCCAAAGAGGACCACATCAAGACATATCATAATTAAAATGCCAGAGGTTAAAGATAAAGAGAGAATCCTAATAGTAAGAGAAAAGTAGGGAGATACTTACAAAGGAGTACCCACAAGACTATCAGCTGATTTCTCAAAAGAAACTTTGCAGGTAAGAAGGGACTGGAAAGATGTATTCCAAGTCATGAAAAGCGAGAACCTATGACCTAGCTTACTGTGTCAAGAAAAGCTATCATTTAGGATGGAAGGGAGGATAAAGTGCTTCTCAGATAAAGTAAAAGAGTTCATTATCACCAAGCCCTTATCACATGAAATGTTAAAGGGACTTACCTAAGAAAAAAAAGATCAAAACTATGAACATTAAAAAGACAACAAATTCACAACTATCAACAATTGAATATAAAAAAACAATCAAACTAAGCAAACAACTAGAACAGGAACAGAATCACAGGAATGGAGATCATTTGGAGGGTTATCGGCAGGGAAGAGGAAGAGACAGAATGGGTGAGAAGGTGCAGGGATTAAAAAGCATAATTGGTAAGTACAAAATAGATAGGGGGATGTTAAGAATAGTATAGGGAATGGTGAAGCCAAAGAACTTGTATACACATCCCATGCACATGAACTAAGGGGGTAATAACTGGAGGGAAGGGGTTACTGGGTGGAGGGGGACAATGGGGAAAAAATTGAGACAAACTGTAATAACATAAAATATACTGAAAAGTGATTAGTGCCAATAAAATTTAGTAAGGTGTCAGTACAAGGTAAATATTTTTAAAAATGAGTAATTTATCTTTATCCTAGCAATATTTACTTACAAACAGAAAAATACCCCACTCAGAGTTATGCAAGCTATAATTTCCCTAGTTATAAAGCAATTTGAAAGGAGAAAGACCTTCATGAAGAAAACTAGACATTGTCTTGAAAGAGCAGATTGAGTTCTCAGATGGAAAAAGCCCGATGATCACTAAAATGCCAGCACATAACATAATTCATATGTAATTCAAAACAATTCTCATGATGAAAATCTTTAAAAGAGTAGAGAAATAACAAAACAGTTATTAACATATATTAGAAAGTTATGATAATAAAAAAATGGTGCTGGGCTGTGGAGTAAAAAACAGACTAATACACAAAGTCCAGAATCAGACCTAAGAAAATGTGTGAGTATAATACAAAACTAGCTAATACTTATTGTGTGCTTTCTATGTGCCAAATAATATTGTGTGTTTTCATGGTTTAACCAATTTAATTCAGCAACCCTATGATGTAGTACTATTATTCTATCCACTTTGTAGATTGTGTGGGGACTGAGGCACAGAGAGATTCAACAACTTTCATAGGACACAAAGCAAGTGGCTCTAAGTGGAAGCTAAACCCAGGAACTGGCACCCAGAGCAGTAGAAAGAAATGTATTATATAATAAATGATATCGGAGACCTTGACTCTTACGTCACATTATGTATAAAAATACATGGCAGATGAAAAGAGGCCTAAAGTTAAAAAAAACAAAATTATAAAAATGTTAGATAAAAATATAGGAGTATTTATGTAACTTGGATGGGGAGGGCTTTCTAAACAAAGCAGGAAACCCAAAAGTTATAAAGGAAAAACAATATGCATGGTTTAGAAAATAACTAAAATCCTGTGAGGAAAGCAACAGAAGACAAATGACATGCTATACATATACCAAAGGGACACCATCCTAACATGTAAATAGGCACTTCAAAGTAAGGCAATGCAGGGATGCTTAACACACCAGTGGTCAGGGAAACACAGATTAAAACAATGGATCTTAGGGGTTTCCAGAATGTCAAAATTTTTAAAGATCAGTATCACCAGGTATTGGCAAAAGTGTGGGTTCAAGTACATTTTTAGAAACAATTGGTGGGACTGCAAATTACTTAGAAATTTTGGGAAAGGATTTTTGCCAATATTTCTTAAAGTGAAAAATATTGATTTGACCCAGCAAGGTGAGTTCTGGATATTAATCTGACAGTAATTAAAACACGGTACATCAGGATATTTGTACATGTTTGCTTCTTGCAGCACTATGTGTAATACCAAAAACAAACAAAGACACAAAAGGGAAACAACATAAATGTCCATTGATAGGGGAATGGTTGAATAAGTTAAGATACTTTCATATAAAGCATGAAATATGCGGTAATTTAAGGAGGAAGAAAATGGTGAGATACTACTTCACAGCCTAGATTGGTAAAATGAAAATGCCTCAAAGTGCAAAGTCTGTTCATGATGTAGGGAAATAGTAACTTTCAGAAACAGCTGCTAGAGGTGAAAATTGGCAGAAAACCCTTGAAAAACAATTGGCAATATCTAGAAAACTTTAAATGTGGTCTACAACCCTGCAAGCCTACTTCTAGGAATATTCCCTAGAATAACTGTTCTATGAGAGCGCCAGATGATGTATGAGAAGTGTCATTGAAGTGTAGCATGTAATAACCAGAAGTTAAAAACAGCCCACATGTCTATCAGCAGGAGAGTGGGTGAGCATGGTGGTTTATTCATAAGATGGTATGCTATACAGAAGCTAAAATGATGGATGACACCTATCCATGTCAACTGGATGCTTTTTAAAACAATGATGAATGAAAAAAAGTAAGGCACAGAATGATTATGTTAAATAATGTAGATTAAAAACTACGATACCATGCATAGCTCTATGTGTGTGTGTGTTCGGGTACCACACAGATACATGAAGTCACAGTGAGAGAATGTGGGTATTGAGTTATGACCTGTGTGGACTTCATCATCTCCCTACCTGGCTGATTGAGTGATGAGGGCCAGCTGGACTTGCCAGCTCTCTGGCATATTAGAGACTATTCTTAGTTGTGACTGTACTTCCAAACTCTAATCTGGAAGCCTGAGAGTTCATGTGAAAGAGGAAGTCCAAGATTATGCAGACTGCACAAAGTCAGCATTTCCTGAACAGAAACGGGTGGGGGTGGGTCTGAAAAGGAAAGATTAGTAGAAGGAGGAAGAAAAACAATTGACAATTAGATCTGTTAGAAGGGGGCAAACTGTCTTGCCAGAAAAACCTTCTGCCCGATCCCCCTAGACCCTCCCAAAGCCCTTTTCACAGGAAAAGTAGTCTTCTTGTAAAAGACTACTACAGGAACTCAAACCTGCAACGTTTTGGTGTATGGGACAATGCTCCAACCAACTGAGCCACCTGGCCAGGGTTGAGCTAAAGATAGTTTTGAGGCTGGGGCAACCAGTAAGGATTTCTCGACCACTTACAGCACCACTGCTGGCTCCCCGAAAGTGGGGGAAAGGATAAAAAGCTAACAGACAAGAGACACTTTTAAAAACTAGAAAAGTTAAAAAAAGATGCTACCTAGTTGCAGCAAGAATTAGTGAAATTGGGTACCCATACACTGCTTATGAAAACTGGTTAAGGTTTTTGAAAAGAAATTTGTCAGCATATACTAATCACTTACACTATTCGCTTTAGTAATTTCATTTCTGGGCACCGATCCTAAGGAAATATTTAAAAATGCACAAAATTTCCATAAAGGTTTTCACATTGTTTATAAAAAAAATTAGAAATCTCTGAAATGTCCAGTTAGAATGGTGTTTAAGTAAATTATGGTGCATCCATACAATAGAATTTAATATAAAACCTAGAACAATATTTGTGATGAGATTTTTAAAATATGAGGGAAATATTTCTGTTAAATCTCTAAGAGAAAAAGAGGATGTCAAAATATGTATATATAGTACAATCCCAAATGAGTAAGAGGGAAAATAAATGAATTACAGGTATTTTTCTGCTTTTATATTATTCTCCTTCCATTACTTTATTGGATTAACCACCGCTGCCCCCCCACCGCCCCAAACTACTACATATCCCTTGTGAGAAGTTAAACTATGGAGGAATAGGTAGAAAAGTGTAATGGCCATCACTCCATCAAAGCCTCTCCACACCTCAGGTAATCATGTTGACTATTTAGCATGATTCCTTCCACTCCTTTCTCTTGAAAAGAATCTCAAGCTCAAATGTCTCCAGGGGCCAAAGCAGGAAACTAAAAGAAAAAAAGCCTTGATATAAACATTAAACAGGTGTGGACTGAGGAAACCTGGGGAATAAACACCCCTCTTGACTCAAAACTCCACAATGATCCATCAAACACATTTAAGGGCTGGATACAACCCACTGTCTACCAGTCTCCACATGAGCACTCTAGATCATGTATTATTATTTTTACTATTATTGCTATTTTTAATCCTTACCTGAGGATACGTTAATTGATTTTAGAGAGAGAGAAACATTGATGTGAGAAACATCGATCAGTTGCCTCCAGTACATGCCCCAATTAGAGACTGAACCCATAACCTAGGTATGTGTCCTGGCTGGAAATTGAACCCACAACTTTTTGGTGTACAAGATAACACTCCAAACAACTGAGCTGGCCAAGGCTATTATTTTTAAAAAATAATTACTGAGATGTAATTTACATACCATAAAATTCACCCCTTATAATTATCCAGTTAACAGGTTCTTAGTATATTCACAGAGTTGTGCATCTATCACCATAATCTAATTTTGGAATACTCTTGTCTCAGGTAGAAATCTTGTACCTATTAATAGTCACTCCCCATCCCCCATCTCCAACTTCCAGCCCTAGGCAGCCACTAATCTATTAGTCTGTGTCCATAGATTTGCCTGTTTGGACATTTCATATAAATAGAATCATATAATATGTGTTTTATTGTAAATTACTTTTCCATTTAGCAGAATGTTTCTGAGGTTCATTCATGGGTTAGCATGTATCCATGGCTCATTAATTTTTAATGCCAAATAATATTCCATTATATGAATAGATCACATTTGTTTATCCATTCATCAGCTAGTGGAATTTAGGTTGTTTCCACTTTGGGGTTATTATGAATGTATTGGGTTAATATATTGATTTAACATGTATGTGTGTGTACAATTTTTTATGTGTAGAAATGTTTCTATTACTCTGTGTAGATACTGAGGAGTAGAATTACTAGGTTATATGGTAACCCTGATTAAGATTTTGAGAAACTGCTAAACTTTTTCAAAGTGGCTATATCATTTTACATTCTACCAACAAAGTATGAATTTCTCCACATCCTTGGCAGTACTTGTTATTGTCTGTCCTTTTTATTCTAGTCATCCTAGTCCATGTGAAGTGGTACTTCATGGTGCTGTCACAATGACCAATAATGTTGGGCATCTTTCCATGTGATTATTTTTGGAGAAGTGCTTATTCATTTCCTTTTATAGCTAAAATATGCATATATTCCATTATATAGTTATACCACATTCACCAGTTAATGGACGTTTAGGTTGAATTCACCTTTTCCTATTATGGACAATGCTGCTATAAACATTCATGTACGAGTTTTTCTGTATACATATATTTTCATTTTTCTTGGGTATATGCTAAGGTGTAGAATTGTACCATTTTACATTCTCACCAGTAGTATATGAGGGCTCGCTCTTCTCCACATCCTTGCAAACACATGTTATTTTAACCCATTCTGTGGATGGTCTTTTCATTTTCTTGAAGGTATAGTTTGAAGCATAAAAGTTTTACAGTTTGATGACATCAATTTACCTATTTTGCTTTTGTTGCTTATGCTTTCGTTGTCACCTCTAAAAATCCTTTGCCATAGGTAAGTTCTCTTTGTAATTTTTTTAGGGATCTCCTGGCAATTCCACTTCTGGGTATTTATCCAAAACACTAATTGAAAAAGATATATGTATCCCTATGTTAATTGCAATATTACTTACAATAGTCAAGATATGGAAGCAACCTAAGTATCTATCAATAGATGACTGGATAAAGAAAATGTGGTACAAATATACAATGGAATATTACCTGTCCATAAAAAAGAATGAAATCTTACCATTTGCAAGAACGTCAATGGACCTAGAGGGTATTATGCTAAGTGAAATAAGCCTGAGAGAGAAAAATGCCATATGATTTCAGTTATATGTGGAATCTAAAGAAAAAATAAACAAATAGGAACAGGCTTACAGATACAGAGAACAAATTTATGGTTGCCAGATGCGAGGGGCATGGGGGATTAATTGGGTGAAAAAGAGGAAGATACTATGAAGTACAAATTGGTAGTTACAAAATAGTCAATGACAGCATAGGAAATATAGTCAATGATATCATGATAACACTCATAGTGCCAGGTTGGTATAGACTTATCAAGGGGATCACTTCGTAAATTATATAAATGTCTATCCACTATGCTGTATGCATGAAACTACATAAAATAATATTGAATGTCAACTGTAACTTTTAAAAAATCCTTTTCAAAATCCAAAGTCATGAAGGTTTACCCATGTTTTCTTCAAAACTTTATAGTTATAGCTCTTCCTTTTAGCTGTTTGATCCATTTGAAGTTAATTTATGTATGTGGTGTGAGATAAGGTTCAGCTTTATTGTTTTACATGTAGTTATTCATCTGTCCCATTTGTTCAAAAGACTGTTGTTCTTTCACTGAATTGTCTCCCTACCTCTGTGGCAAATTAATTTGCCATAAATGTAAGGGTTTATTTCTGAGCTTTCAATTCTATTCCATTGTCTATCCTTAGGCCCATACCATACTACTTAGATTACTGAAGCGGTGTAGTAATTTTGATATTGAGAAATGTGAGCCCTTTAAAAGCCCTTCAAGTTGGTCTGATGTCATAACTCACCTGTACTGTTTCTGCCGTGTTTCTAGTTCTTTACGTCTGTGCTGCTTGAGAATGTGAATTTGGTCATCACGGGGCAACTTTGCTGTGAGGAAAAGACAAATGTAAGAAGAGCCATAGAAATAATTATAACAAGGTCCAATATTAAGGTTTCCCTCAGACTCCCTGCTCATGCTAAGTGCTTTATATGAGTCACCTGTTTAAGCCTCAGAACATTCCCCTATTTTATTAAATAGGACTCTGAGAGGTTGAATAGCTCTGCCCTTGAACTTTACTCAAGGTCACATACCTAATCAGTGGATTTTCAACACAAGACTCAAATCCCATACTCTTAGTCACTCTTTTCACAAAAGATGAAACCAGTTTCTCCTCCTTCTGCCTGCTCACCCAGCAAGCCTGGTGGCCCTGCACTTTGGGGCCTGAGGATCATGTCCAGATGCATGAGCCAAGCTTCTTTCACTTTGGGCTTTACAAGGACAGGCCAATAACTCTGTCTCCCTCCTACAGGGACTGCTCTGTGCCTCAAAGCACCTGCAGTAGGTGTGACCTTTCTCCAGGTACTAATAAGCCCCAGGCTTAGAGGGTGAAGTGAGAATTCCCAGGCACACAGACAGCCATGTCCTCCCTCTGAGTTATAGTCCTTCAAGGGGAATATTATGACCCCTTTTTGTCAGAGGGTAAATAGGCTCCCTAGTAATAAATATCCCTGGGATGTACCCCTAACTGGGCAGTTCTCCAAATGTCAAGTCTGTTGCTTCACTTTCCAGAATCACAGACATCCAGGCCCAAACAGCCATTTGTGATGTCACAGTAGGGCTTGGGCTCCAGGGCCCCCCATGCAGAGGGGCTGTGGGCAGGCTTGGTCTACATAGTTACCAGTTAGTTGAAGTCCCATTTTTTGCTGAAAAAGAAAAGAACCTAAAATCTGCTATCTAAAGCAAGACCCTCAAGTGTGCAGACCCCAATCTGGCACTTCCACAATAGGGCATTCTTCATACATAAGAATCAGCTGGCCTGATATGGAGGAGGAGGGAGGCAAGTGGCAACAATCAGCCAATGCTTGGAGCTCTCTGAGTGACTCTTCCTTGCATGCCAGCTTCTTAGCATGTGTGAGTCACATCTGGTCCTGGGCAAATTTCTACCTGCTTCAAGTCATGGTCCTTCAGTTTGCTCATTCATACTCTAGACCAGGAGCAATCAATCTTCAGATGCTGTGTGTCCACAGAATGAGGAGGAGTACAGTTGCTTCCATCAATGGCACCGTATAGTATTCCTTGTTACAACACGCTTCCTATCATTAGTTCATTGGTTCTTTACAGAGATTCCGCAGAGTAGGTAAAACAAGAATAACTGTTCCCATTTTTTAACTATGAAAATCAAGACAAGGGAGGAAAAAGTTCTCCTCTACCAAGTGTTCTTAAACTACCAGACCAGCCACATCCCACTCTTTCTGACATGGAATTTAACTTAGGAAGCCAAACTCCAAGAATATTTTTGAACTGAATGACTGGAGCTAGAGGATTTTTTCCCCCTGACCTCATGGAAGGAAAAATCACAAAATTTTCTCTGATGTTGGCCATTGGACAGTAGTGTGGGCTAAGAACTGTTGGGTGCTGGTAAGAACAGAGACTGAGAGTAAGTATTTACAGACTCTTAGAGAAATTTACCAGAAAAATTCTATGACTGTTGCATCTGATAATAAAAACAGGGCATGTATTTTGAATGTTTTTGGCTTGGTTTTTATTTCATTTATAGTAGTTAATTTTTATTGTATTTTACAAAAATATCAGTCTGTGATGGAATGGAAGTTTTAAAAATCTGACCCTTCACCACAGAGACCTGCAAAAGCATTATTATCAGCCCCCCTTTCAGGTGAGCTCTGGAATTCCTGCCACTCAAATTCCTTGACTGTATTTACTGCTTTCCCTTAACTAATGGTATAAAGGGTAATCATGATCCTACCTATCCCCACCCTGCCCTTAGACACCTGCTCCACTCCTGAAATGAAAGATGAGATGACTTTGAAGCCAGCTCAGAGGAAAGAAGAGGGGCTCAGGTCCATTATGAGTATAAGGACAATAACCATGGTTCCCATGTATTGGGCAATTACTGGGCCAAGCACTGTGTGTTGTGCTTTATTATATCCTCTTACTAGATCCCCACCCTGACCCTAAAAATAGGCATTATTATCTCCATTTCACCTGTAAGGAAGCCAAGGCAACTTGCTCTAGGTCACAGAGGTTTGTTTAAGTGACAGTGCCCAAGTCTCCATTCAAGCCCAGGTGTTCCCCTTTTAAAGCCCACACTCTAGGACACTACCTACTATTTTGGAATTAAGCTTCATTCTTAGTCCTCTGTATAGACACCATAGGGAACTGGACAGAGTTGGCATCTGTATGTTGGATCTGAAATCACCGATTTCTCCAGGAAGCACCTGGTTGGACTTAGAAACATAAGAATCATGAGTCTCTGCTCCTCCATCAGGCAACAGGGAAGCCTGCAGTGACCTGCCATTCCTGCTTTCCATGAGAATTGCTTGGGGAATAGGAATGAACTATCTCTGCAGTTTTTTAAAGAAATCCAACATGGAACACGAAGAGAGGAAAGGCAGTTCTGCACCAGGGATCCAGGATTCTTTTTTTTTTTTTTTTTTTTTAAAGATTTTATTTATTTACTTTTAAAGAGGGAAAGGAGGGAGAAAGAGAGAGAGAGAGAAACATTAATGTGCGGTTGCTGGGGGTCATGGCCTGGAACCCAGACATGTACCCTGACTGGGAATCGAACCTGCGACACTTGGGTTCGCAGCCTGTGCTCAATCCACTGAGCTACGCCAGCCAGGTGGATCCAGGACTCTTGACAGAGGCAATATCTTGGGGGGACATGTGGAAGGTTAGGGCTGCCAGGTGAAAATCCATAAGCAGGCCAGAAATGGGCACTGTTATTATTCCCACGGATACAGTTCTTTGAAGAAGGGGGATATGCAAACCCTCTCTGTTCCTGAGAGGCTCAGGGAGTGAAAGGGGCCTAAGCTGCTTACCTCGTCCATCTCGTAGGACAATCTCACCCTCACCAGTAATCCAGCGGTAGCAGGGGAACTCGATGTAATCCCCATAAGGTGTTTTCAGCGTGATATACTTCAGGTACCAGTCATCATGAAGCCAGTACTTGCGCTTCTCAATTTTGACCAGCTGGATGTCACCCAGTTCTTCATCCACTGTCACATCATAAGAATCAACCTAAGAAGGAGAAAAGGCAAATGGGACTCTTTGAGGTCTTCCGGGCATGTGTATTACCCTGAGTTCATTTAGCCAGGATGTCTGCAGAATGCCTGCCTCCCCAACAGCTCTGTGTTGGGCCTGTGCCATTGCCCTTGGGGTGACCTGTGTATCTGCAGCTCTCAAAGGCAGATGGGAAGAAAGGGTGAGGGCTCCAGCACTGCACTGGGCCTGTCAGAAGCCAGCAGGTTTGGGAAGCCCTGGACTCCATACCCCTTGGGCACTTTCTAAACCAGATTCACCAATCCTGGAGCTTTTTTCTTGGTGACAGGACCTAGAGTAAAGTAAACAGGGATGTTCATGCTGCATGCAGCCCCAGGCATCCCTAATCCCTCTCCTGCCAAGCCACCAGCAGAACCTGTGAGGACTACCTAAGTGGAATGAGAAGTTAGATGTTTTCAGCAAATGTCTTGCCTTTGAGCACACTGAGCAGCTTGCATGTCATGGTTGCTGCTGTTGCCCAGACGCTTGTGGTTAGAAAGCGGAAATCTTATTCTTATGCTCTGTGGTCTAGCCTGGGTTCTGAGGACCAAGGAGCCAGCTGTGTGGGGGGGATGACACTTCGTGGTCCCTAATAGCTGTTTGAGCATATCTGTCCTGCCAGAATGCCTCATCCTGCAGAGTGAAAGAACTTTTCTGCCCTATAATATGTCCTGATCCCCAGGGCCTATGAGACCTTGGGGAGGGGTGCTCTTTGTACTGCAGGGCCTGTCTGATTCCTGGGGAGAGGCCAGCAGGCTCTGGGCACAGAGTTGAAAAAGGAGTCCCAGTGCAGGGCTAGATGACCTGAGTAGCTAGAGGGATGGTGAAGAAAGGAAGAACACAGCTCTGATTGGTAACTTCTGGGGTTGGGAAGAGAAGACAGACCCCTGAGCTGAGGCCAGGGCAGGGCAGTGGGCCAGGGCAGGAAAGTTCTGACAGGACAAGAATCCCACTCTGTGTCTTGCCCGCCATGGAGATGCAGAATTCAAGACAGAAATTCTCACAGGAGGGAGGAGGGCAGTGAAGGGCAGAGGAAGGTGTAAGCCAGGTAGCACAGCCAGCCTCAGGGGGTGCCAAGGTGACTGACCCTAAGTCTCAGCAAATTGATTTATTCCCTGAGGCTATGTTTCTTCATTTATCAAGGGGAGGTAATGCCTAGCTTGCAAGGTCATTGAAAAATGCAAATGATGTTAGACCTGAGTGAGCTCCTTTCTCCAAGGGCACAGGCCACTGGTTGTGGTGAGCATCAGAGCCACCTAGCCCTCCCTCCCTGTCTCCTGGAGGTTGGGTCACAGGGCAGCAGGCCCCCACACTTCCTACAAGCAGCTGTGAGCTAGTGTGGGCCCCTGCACTGAGGTCCATCCCTACTACCACACCCAGAAATAGATGTGGGAGAAAAAAACTAAGCCTATGAGCTTTAACTTCTTGGCTCAAAACATGGAGGGAATTTCTGTGAAGGTGGAGAAGGTGCCATCAGCCAGAGGGAGAATAGGAAGCATTTTTGGTGCTGGCAGTGCAGGCAGAGAAAGGGAAGTCAGCATGTGGTGAGACCTGGGTCTGGGCTGTGGGTAGCTGCTCCAGGGGAAGTGGCTTTTCTGTGGCTCTGAGGGGCTGGAGTGGGCTGAAGGTGTCCTGGGGGTTGATGCCAGGAAGGCTGGGGCTAAGGGGGAGAGGACAGCCATTCTCAAGTAACAGATGCCATGAACATTGTGTTGGATGCTCTCATGGGAGGGAGGAGCTCAGCACCTTCAGAATGCACAAGAAAGGGAGATGGGGCTCAGGAAGTCTCTCCAGGACTTGGGTGATCCTTAGAAGGAAGGCCATATGTCTGGCTGGTGGTGGTAACTGACAAGGAAAAGATGGAGCCGCTTCTCTGAGGGAGGGGAGAGCAAGATTACCTTTTGACAAACCTGTGGTGTAATCATAGGAGGAAGGGACCTTCCAGTTTCCCCACCCCTACTCCTGTAGTCCTGGTAGAGGGGTTTGGAGTTTCACCCAGGATAAACAGACTGAACAAACTCACAGGGATACAATATGCTATCAGACAGGATCTTTGGCAGGGTTAGAGGGATACGCAGGCCAGTCTGGTATGCCTCTGGCTGGCCCTGGCTTCAGACTCAGGGTTACAGAAAGTGAACAAGGGTTTGAGGAGTTTAGCTCCACCTAATTCAGAAAGTCTTTTAGGGACAATGTCTGGTAACTATGGCTTTGGCATCTAAGGGGGCCACTGTTAGAAAGTCACAGAGGATGGAAGGTGGCCTCCCAGAAGATTACAGGATCCTAAACATAAATAGCAAAGCCAGGCTTAGGAAAGTCCAAACTTACTCCTTTTCCAGGGCCCAGTACCAAGGTGGCTGCTATGTTTGTTGTCTATTTGCCCTGACACTTTGAATTCTCATGTCCATTCAGCACAGTGGACACTATCAACAGTGGATGGCCCATAACAGGCCCTTGATAAATACCATACATATGCCTGGCTGCATGGATAGTTCCCATTTAACAGAAGGAAACTGAGGTTCAGAGAGGTCAGGCAGCTTCCATGCCATTGTATAATTGTGGCCCCATGATTACAATCCGCACCTGTCTGACGGCCAGTCCAGGTACTTCCCACTGTCCCTTGCAGCCACATGATGGGAAAAGCCATGGACTGGGAGCCAATGACCTGGCTCTGAGTCCTGATTCAACCCCTTTTTGGAGTATGAAGGGACAATGTGGGTTGGAATGACATGGAAGCTTCTTAAGAGATGACATTTGAGGTAGCTCTTGGGACTTCGTAAGATTTCAGAGATGAGGTGAGTGGGAAGAGAAGAATGGGCAGGGCATTGTGGTTATAGGAAAGAAAGCAAGATCCCCAAGATGGGGAGGAGGTGGCTAGAGCATGGAGCTCCTTGGGGCAGAGGTGGCAGGTGCTGTGTGAGATGCTGGAGAGAGATGGACCCAGGAAAACATGCAATTCACCAGTCTCATTTTATGAAAGGGCCAGTTTGCTCATTTCACTTGTTGCTCTCAACTATTTTTTTGAATATTGCAGCAAAGTGTTAGCTGAACAGTTTTCATTTGAATTTTATATTAGCATTTTAAGAAATGTTTCATTTTTCTCTGCCCCCAGATCCCTGCTGTTGCTGCAACAGGGATCTCTGCTAAAGCAAGGACAGAGTAGAGTCATGGAATGGCCCAGCCAGGGACACCCATCTTGGAGGGCTGATAAGAAACTGGTGGGGTTTGGTGGGGGAGAGGAAGATGTTGTGGATCACAGAGAGGGGGATTAAAGGGTGGACATGAGAAAAACTGGGGCAAAAAGGAGAAAGGGAACAGTGGTTAGGGATATTGAGGGGGCAAAGAGGAAAATGGAGACAGTGAAAAGAGAAATTGAAGCAAATAAGGGAGAAATGGGGTACTTTGGGGGATTGTGAGAAATAGGGAGCAGAGGGAGAAAGGGAAGAAAGAAGAAGAAGCAGAGTGTAGGGAAGAGAGGGGACAGAGAAGAAAGACTGGGGGACAGAGAGAGATTGTGGGTCAAAAGGAAACATTTATTCTTCACTAATATATTATGAGAATGAGGTATTCTAGAATGTATTCTTCATGAATATACTATAAGAATATTCACTGAGTATATTTAAGAAGTATATATAATTGTATGAATTGTTTACACTTATAGAATATGTTTCCAGATAATATATTGCCCTTTGCTTCCCTAAAAATGCTGTCATAAAACAAAAATGGGTCAAGTAAGATTTCCCAGAAATATTCTGATCTGTTAAAGTCATCCCATCTTAATTGAATTACTTTAAGTCAACAGAATTAAAGGAACACATCAGTTTGTCAAATTTCCCAAACTTGGGTTAGTCTCTGGGCTCTGCAGGTACAGTCTGGGCTTTCCCTAACAGACAGCAAGGAGCCAGTGAAGGTGTGACTGTTTATAAGAGAATCTTCCTGCGGAGACTCCCCACTCCCAGTCCTGTCCTAAATCACCATGCAGAACTCTGATGAGAATAACCAGGGCTCTGTGACTCAATTTATTGAGAAAAAAAGTCAGTCCTGTACATTATTTGACCAAGGGAGAATAGGGGATGTTGACCTGCTAATGACCTGGAAATGGTTGAATTGGTTACCTGAAATAATCTTTACTGTTACTGTTATTAACCATCATGATTAATACTTTCCAAGTAACACTTTTCAAGTAAAATGGGATAGCTTTATCTTCTCAGCAAGTATTTCCTCAAAGTTTTTTCTTTCATCTTTATTCAAAAGGGACGGATTGTCCGTAAAAGAGACATTGGCTGGGGAATGAGGAAGTCACTTCAGGCTGTGAAAGACAGTGTGGAGTAACTTTGCATTGACAGGAACTTTCTCAAAAGCTGATTTTTTAAAGAGCACTTCAGAGCCAGCTGGTTCCCCTGAACTGCAGCAGCCTCCCTCACTTGCTCCCTGTCACCCCAATGGAAATGTGACATGCAAATCTCTCCTGAAATTTGCTTCTGAGACACTCACTTAGGTGTTGAATCACAATGGCATTTGAATGAATTCTCAGGGCTAGGAAGACAGAACAGAACGAGGGAGGGAAATAACAAACAGAACAGTGCTTGCATCCCTCTTCTAATCAACAGTCCGTTATGGCCACACCACTGTGGCTCTTCCGGGGAGAAGCCACACATAGGTGCCCTGCACTGCATAGTGAACACACTGATGTGTTCAGTGTGTGGAAGAGAACAGGGCCCACTGTGACCCACTCATAAAAGGGAAGTAGTCTGTATCCTGTCTTCCCCAAGGTGTGGGGGAATGCATAAATAATAGAAATAAATGAAGATGCTTCAGAAATGACAGAGGGTGTCATTTCAAATGGATGACTAATTAGCTCTACTGTACCTCTGTCCCAGGGCTAGATTCCTGGTAAGGGAAACCAAGCAATAAGAGTTTGTTCTTATACTCAACACCTAATTCTTAGTGAAGGGAGCTCAAGCCAAGCTAATACATGGTGGGGCAAAAGGAGGTTTACAGTTGTTTATATGGAAAATAATACAATAATCAATAAATAATAATGCAAGAATAAACTGTTTTTGTGTACTCACAACTGTAAACATACTTTTGCCCTATGCTGTATGTTGAACTAGGCTAAGTGTCCAGTTGGCTCATAGCAAGGTTCTGAGGCTCCAGAGTAGGAATCAAGTCTACTTGGAGTTTGGAATCTGGAACATGCTTTAGGCTCTGAAAACCTAAAACACACATCACAAATTTTATCCAGTATTTGGTTGAGCCATATTAAATTGCCATTTTGTCTTTTAAACATAAGCAACTCTGAGCAATTTTATGTGATTCAACTTTATAATCAACTAAGTGGTGACAAGACAGCTTTGTGAAGTCTATATTTCTTTGGTCTCTTTTAGGAGCTGGGGGTGGTGGAAAGGAACATATCCATGGGGACCTACAGTTGTTGGGACTATCATAATAGTCATTTGCCTCAGTAAATAAGCCACTGCCTATGTGCTTGCCACTGGGCTGGGCATGTTACTAAACGTGGGCCAGGATAACTGTGACCTGTCATGTTCACAGGGCTAGAATTCATGCCCAAGTCAGCATCAGGAGCCCATTTGTGTAAGAACACCTATGCTTGGCCTTAGACAGCACCTGGCACTACAGACTAGGGGTACAATAAACATTGGCTCCTTTTGCTTCCCAAACTCCCCCAGCTCAGTCTCCAGTGAAGGGGTAAGTCCCATCCCCCTTCTTCTTCCACTGAGCCCTCACACCTTGGGTGGAATGCTCCCTGGTGTACACTGCTGGGAGTCAGTGAAAACCTTCAGGTTTGCAAGGCTTCTCCTTAATTAGATTCTCTTGTTCTTCCCCTCTAAATTCCTCTGGGGACCAGTCCTGAAGCCATCTTGTTGTGGAGACACCTGCTAGGGCCACTCTAAGCCACTAACTGGGCTTGGGGTCCCGCAGGAAAACCTGACTTGCCTGAAGCCAACTATTTCATTTTGCAGTTGGGGAAACTGAAGCCCAGAGGAGACAGAGTGAGCTAGTGGTCAGGCCCAGATGGAACTCAGGTCTCTGTATTCCCATACCTGCACTTTCTGCCACAGCTGGCAGCTGCTCTGAGATGCCATCTGTGCATCACAGCAGGGCAAAGACTTGCAGGGTCCATGACTATGAGTATTCTCCCCCAGCCCGAGGAAGCAATCCTGCAAAGCAGGGTACTAGTAACGCTGCCAGTAGCACTTGCCCAGTTAAGGGGCCTCTCAGAACCTCGGGTCCTTATCTGTGAAAAGGAGAGCAAAGCTTTCATCTTCCCTGATCCCTGGGGAGAAGAGCCTTGCTCTGGAAAAAAAACCCAATCTTGGGTCCCAGGCGGGCCACAGGGCCCTGGATGCGCTTCCTCGTGGTCCAAGTCTCCCACAGGGATTGCAGGACACACCTCCAGCCCGGTCCTGGCTGCTCCGATGGGTCTCGAGATTCCTCTGCCTGGGTCTCCCTCCCCGTCCCCCAACTGGGGGTCCCAGGCGCCCTGCCCTGTCCCTCAGCGCACTCACCGCGCCACGCTCAAAGTCGTTGTAGAAGGGTTTGTCCAGTAGGTGCTTCTCGCTGCAGCCGGTGGAGCCCACGAGGCTGAGGTAGATGTAGTCATCAGTGCCAGCGAACCACTGGCTGCCGGTGGCCACGGTAACTGTGTAGGAGGGCATGGTGGCGGGCGGGCGCCACGGGCAGTGGGCTCAAGGAGCTCTTGCAGTCTCCGCACGCTGGTCCCTGGTCCCGGGGCGTCCACAGCTCACCAGGATCCAAGCGCTGTTTCCACCCTTTGCTCTGTGTGGGCCCCGCCCCCGCTCCGCCCCTGCCCGCCCCCACCCCACACCACGCCCTGCCGGCCGAGTCCTGTGCTCCTGCAGCTCTAACCTGGAGGGGACAGCCTTGGATGCTGGAGGAGTTACCCATTCCTGCGTTTACTTACCTGACAGGATGTTTGTTTTAGTACTAAGGGAACTGGAGCAACCTCATCTGTCATCCATCCTTCCATCCATCCATCCATCCATCCATCCATCCACTCAGTCTTTCATTCACTGTTACCACTCTTTACTCCCACTTCCGACCTCAGTCCCGTTACTGCCAGGCTTCAGTGAGGGGATAGCGCTGGGCTCCCTGGACCCTAAAAAACATATGTTCTCACAAAAACCCCAGTATGCGTGGGAGGCCATGCAACAGGAACAATGACCCATACTGTGTGTTCTGGAAGTCTACAGTAGAAAGAGGACCTGGGGAGTCAGGGAGGCTTTCTGGTGGAGGCCACACGTGAACTGACACTGAAGGTGAGATGGGACTTCCGTCAGCATTGCTTCTTCCTCAGGCTTGATTGAATGTCACTCTGGGCAGGGTGCAGGTGCGCACGTAGGTGAGACAGATGCCAGCCACGCCCAGGCCGTGAAATTGAAATTATACAGTGGAAAGCAAAGCAGCCAGAGGGAAGGAGGCCAGGACAAGAAAACCCAATTTGGGGTTGTCTGGAGGAAATCAGCCAACTTTCAGAGACAAGGGGCTGAAGAAACTCTGGGGCTGGGAGACTGGATGAGTGGTGGGAAAGGAGTTAGGCTTGTTTGAAGATAGCTCATGGGAGTGGACCAATGACAGAAGTCCTGGGGAAGAAGATAGGGACCCACAGCAAGAATGTTTTTGGAGTTAGGGTTGTTGCCTGAGGAACCCACTGCCCAGAGGAGTAGTCTGTTGACTTTCTAAGTGGTGGTGGGTGGAGGTTTGGGAAGGATGTTAGCAGAAGGCTTTATGCACTAGAGGAATTTACAACTCAAAATTTTTCTGCATTTACCTATACCTCACCCACACCCTCATTCAACCATTACCACCCTCCTCCTCATCCCCAACTTCAGAATTGGGTCTAACTGCTTGTGAACTGAACTAAATTAAAAGCAAGTTAATTCTATGTAAGGTAGAGGGTATGTCAAGTCACCTGCTTTGTACACTCTCTTCTGAGGATGTACAAAGATGCAGGCTCCCCATTTCTGGGAGCCTGAGCTATAGCTGGTGGCAAATCCCACTTCCTCCTCTGCCTGGCGGACCAAGACTGGGCAGAAAGAGGGTACTATTCTATCTGTATGCCTGGGGAGTGAGGTCAGATTTCAGTGCAACTGGCTTTATTCATCAAAAGACAGGCTTCTCTGGGAATCAAATTGGAGAACATGCAAAGCTCTGGGCACAGTTATGTCGTGGCAGATGAAGATACCACAACAGTGGGACCTATACTCTGCCAGGCAAGTTACCTGCTACAGGAAACCCTGGAGGAGGTATTAAAAATGCCTCTAGAATACCCTTCAAATCTAAGAAAAAAATGGTTATTGTTTTTCTTTAAAGAGAAAAGACTGTTCAAGTCCTTTGCCCACTTTTTAATTGGATTCCTTGTCTTCTTAGAGTACAGTCGTGTAAGTTCTTTATATATTTTGGAGAGACACTTCTCCAAGGAGGACATACAGAAAATCCAAAGACACATGAAACGATGTTCAATATCGCTAGCTATCAGAGAGATGCAAATTAAAACCACAATGAGATACCACTTCACACCAGTCAGAATGGCCATCATAAACAAAGCAACAAACAACAAGTGTTGGAGAGGTTGTGGAGAAAAGGGGTCCCTAGTGCACTGTTGGTGGGACTGCAGACTGGTACAACCACTATGGAAAGCAGTATGGAACTTCCTCAGAAAACTAAAAATGGATCTGCCTTTTGACCCTGCGATTCCACTGCTGGGACTCTATCCTAAAAACACTAAAACACCAATCCAAAAGAACCTGTGCATCCCAATGTTCATAGCAGCACAATTTACAATAGCTAGATGCTGGAAGCAACCAAGATGCCCATCAGTAAATGAATGGATCAAAAAGCTATGGTACATTTACACAATGGAATTCTATGAAGCAGAAAGAAAGAAGGAGCTCCTACCCTTTGCAACAGCGTGGATGGAGCTGGAAAACATTATGCTAAGCGAAACAAGCCAGGCAGTGAAGGACAAATACCATATGATCTCACCTTTAACATGAACCTGAACAACAAAACAAAGAAGCAAGCAAAATATAACCAAAGACACTGAAATAGAGGACAGGCTGACAGTGACCACAGGGGAGAGTAGAGGGAATTTCAGGGGACATTGGGAAGGGTTCATGGGAACAAACTTAAAGGACACATGGTCAAAAACTAGGGGGAGGGTGGTAATGGGAGGGAAGTGGGGAGGGGTTGGAGCGGGGCTGGACTGGGAGTAAAAAGGAGAAAACTGTATCTGAACAATGATTAAAATAAAATTAAAAAAAAAGAAAAGAAAAGACTGTATACATTTTTTGACAAAAGTAATGAATTACCATTGTAGAAAATATAGAAAAGTTTGATACAGAAACAAAATTCATAACAACATACAGAAAAGACAATTATTAAAATTAACTACATTAGATATTTATACCATTAAAGACACATTGTATGTGCAATTTCATGTCATTTTTCCATTTTCTTTAATATAACATACATGTTTCCTATGAAATTTCACTTTTTAAATATTTTAAATACTGTATAATACTCAGTTTCCTTAATTGGTACACTATTTCCTTAATTGGTACACCATGATTTCCTTAATTGGTACACTATTTTTGGACATTTAGGTTGCTTTCACTCATAAATAATGCAATGGTACCTATTTTTCACTTAAAACATTAATTTTTCTTTCTTAAGATAGTGACTTAGAAATCAGTGAAAGTGTATGAACATTTTGAGATTTTTATTACATGTTATTAAGCTACTTTCCCAAGGACTATAGTAATTTACATTTATGCCATTTACTCTCATGCAGAACATGGAATGCTTTTTTTCACAGAAACTTTGCCATCATGGGATAGTTTCCAAAATATCTCTATCTTTTTCTCACTCTCTCTGCCTTGGTTCAGGCTTTCAGCATCTCCTGCATGTATTGTAACAACAACTTCCTACCTAATAATCCCTGTACCTATAGTCTACCTACCTCCTCCTCCAATTCTCTAGTGAGAGTTATTTCCCTGTGACATAGATGAGATCATCTCACTGTCTTACTTAAAGTCCTTCATTGTTTTCCTTATTTTAACATTTTTATAACTTTATTGAGATGTAATTAGCATGCCATACAATTCATTAATTTAGTGTACAATTCAGTGGTGTTTAGTAATATTCAGAGTTGTGAGACCATCACCACAATCAAATTTACAACATTTTTATCACCCATTAACAGTCACTTCCCATATCCCTCCTCATTCTTCTAACCAGGCTAAGCACTGATCCACTTGCTGTCTTTATAGACTTGTCTATTTTGGACATTTTATATGAATGGAATTATATAATATGTAAACTTTCATGGCTGGCTTCTTTCACTTAGAATAATTTCAAGGTTAATTCACATTGAAAGATATACTAGTATTTTATTCCTTCCTGTTGCAGAATAATATTCCACTTTATGGATATACAATGTGTTCATCCTTTTATCAGATGATAGAAATTTTACTTGTTTCCATTTTTGAGCAATTATTAACAATGATGCTATGAACATTCATGTATACATTTTTGTGTGAATGCATGTTTTCATTTTTCTTGGGGACATGACTAGGAATGGAATTGCTGGATCATATGGTAACTCTGTTTAGCATTTTGAGGAAGTGCAAGATTGTTTGCCAAAGTGGCTATACCATTTTACATTTTCATCAGTGATAGATGAGGTTCCATTTTTTTTCCATATCCTTGCCAACACTTTATATTCTCTGTGAAGTGGTATCTCATAGTAGTTTTTATTTGTTCTTCTATAATGATTAATGCTGTTCAGCATTTATTCCACATGCTCATTGGCTAATTGTATACCTTCTTTAAGGAAATACATATTCAGATATTTGACCCATTTTAAAAAATGGCTTATCATTTTACTATTGAGTGTAAATGTTCACACATCCTGAATAAAAGTCCCTTATCAACTATATTATTTACAAATATATTGTTACTTTTGTGTATAGCCTTTTTACTTTTTTTAATCCTGACCTGAGAACATTTTTTCATTGATTTGAGAGAAAGAGGAAGGGATAGAAAGAAATATTGATGTGAGAGAGAAACATCAATTGGTTGCTTCCCATATGCTCTCAGACCAGGGATCACATGCACCCACACTGGGTATCAAACCCACAACCTAGGTACTTACCCTTACTGGGAATCAAACCTGAAACCCTTCATTTACAGGACAATGCTCCAACCAACTGAGCCACAGCAGCCAGGGTAGTCTTTCTACTTTCTGATGGCTTTGTTTGAATCACAAAAGTTTTTATTTTGAATAAGCCCAACTTATATATTTTTCTTTTGTTTCATTTTATTTTAGGACCATATCTGTGGATCATGAGAAAGAAGGTACATACCTACCAAGAAGGACTCCTGGTGCTAAAATGGGCTCAAATTAAAAACAAAGCAAGACAAAACAAAACAAAGCCTAACAGTCATTTCTATACAGGGGTCTGTCATGCAAACAGACTTCAGGGGGAAACTTGCACTGAACTGCCTGCCTGCACTGTGTTCCTGCTGTCTGAGCCAGTGCTTTATAAAGGAGTTCCTGGAATTGTATTTCAACTAATAGGACTGAGATTTCCTCATCCAATAGGAGTTATGCAACTATATCCCCAATAGTATCTTCACTGATCGATCAGAACAGCTCCATTCTGACCAAACTTCAGGGTTTGGAATCTATTTGCATGAGGATGGACCAATTAGGAACCAGAGAAGGGGACTTCTGTCTGTATA